ATCTTGAGAACGACGAGCCTGAATGCCTTTCAGGCAGTAGTCTCGACCTATCATATGACAATCAAGTACCAGTGGGTTAATAGGTCAGACAGGTAATGGGGGACAATCTCACCTCGAGAACGTGTTACCTGGTAACCGTCACGGCTGGCCGATAGAATGCAAGGAGAGAAGGAGTTCCCAAAGAAGTCAGAGTCAACAGGCCAAGTAGCTCGAGTAAGATAGAGGAGAGGTCGAAAGTTTAGAAAGGGAAGCAGAAAGCTGACATTTAACCGGAGAGGAGATAGTGGAAGTCCAGATGATAAAAGGGAGAGATGATAGAAAGTTTCGAATTGGGGGGAATTTGGTGGATTCTTTGAGTTCGGAGCTCATTAGTCTGATTCAGGTGTTCTCTGACATCTTTGCTTATACCTTAAATGAGCTCACAAGCATCGACGCAAGTATTATTGAGCACCGGTTGAATATCGACCTTAAGGTTCGACTGGTACGGCAAAAGAGGCATCATCACGGAGCTGATATGGATAAGATTATCGAGCAGGAGGTAGACAAGTTGCTGAAAGCGGGCCATATTGTCCAAATTCAGTTTCTAGAATGGTTATCAAACACAGTAATGGTGTCCAAAATTGAGGGAAAATGGTGAATGTGTATCGACTTCTGTGATCTTAAAAAGGCGTGCCCAAAGGACCATTATCCACTGCTAAAAAACCACCAATTGGTTGACTCAATAGTTGGGTGCAAGCTATTGAGCCTGATGGACACGTCGCAAGGCTATCAACAAATTATGTTAGCTAGGGAAGAGTGCAATATAGTAAGCTTCACGACAAGCAAGGGGACCTACTGTTATGTGGTCATGCCGTTTGGCCTGAAAATGCAGGGATGACATATCAACGTCTGGTCGACAAGATCTTTCAGGATCAACGCTAGTCCAAAACATTGAGGTCTATGTTGAAGAAATGTTGGTCAAAAGCAAAGAAGAGGTAGATCACGTAGTAGATTTGAGGGACATCTTCAGTACGTTAAGGACATTTGACATGAATTTAAATCCAAGCTAAATGTTCGTTTGGAGTTAACTCGGAAAAAAGTCCTGGGTTATATAGTGACAAAAAGAAGAATTGAAGCAAATCCGAAGAAAGTTCGAGCAGTCCTGTAAATGAGACAAACTAGGAGCGTTAAGGAAGTGCAGATCCTCACAAGTCGAATTGCGGGGTCGAGTAGGTTTATTTCAAGGAAGGCCAAGCAGAGAAGTCCGTTATTGAGAACATTAAAGGAGTCCTCTAAATTCACATGGACAAAGGAGGATCATAAGGCATTCGAAGAGCTGTAGGTTGTGCTTGCCGGCTTGCCATTATTGGCCAAACCAATGCAGGACGAGGACTTAGTGCTTTACATTTCTACTGGGTTAGCGATGGTGAGCTCAGTACTTCTAAGAGACGAAGGTTTTTCCCAATTGCCAATATATTATGTAAGCAGGGTAATATAAGGAGCTGAGCTGATGTCTCGAAGATCAACAAAAGAGCTCTGGCAATAGTGGTCACTGACAGAAAGTTAAGGCCATATTTTGTAACTCATAAGGTGAAGTGTTTGTCCCATTTTTGTTGCGTTTTTCGTATTTGTTTTGTCTTTCTTTTGCCCCCGTACTAGGTCTTTTTGTTAGTTTTTAGTTTTCTTGTAGCTTATTATGTGTTTTGCTCTATTTTGGATTTTATGTGTTTTTCGTGTATTTTGTCAGTTTTCTACGTTTTTTTTCTTGTTTGATGTGTGCAGGTCGAAAGCCCCGTGAGAAATGGATTTAGCCCAAAATCTGACCCGACAATCATGGTTGAGTAGAAGGGTTTGTTAGCTACATTTAAGAAGAAGCAGAACTCGATTTCGAGTTCAGACGAATCCGAACGGGGCCGAAACATAATGTCCAGCAAGATGCCGACCCTTTGAAGGTTGGAAAACTATAGAGGATTGTACTATTGGAAAAATCTGGTCATGAAAGTATCACCGAACAGAAGGGTTCGTTAGCGACGCGTAGGAAAAAACGAAACCCAATTCCGAGTTCGGACGAGCCCAAACGAGCCCCTGAATCAAAATAGTGCAGTGCAGGAATCAACCACCGCGGCGCGGCGTGAGGGACCTCCACGGCGCGGCGCAACTGCCCACCACGGCGTGAGGCACTCTCCGCAGAGCGGCACGACCTCTCTCTGCACCGTGGCACCTCCGCGACCCTGTTCCCAGTATGCCGCTACACTTCACCACGACACGTTAGAACTTCCCTCCGCGCCGCGGTGCCCGTGACCCTCGCGCCGCGCCAAATTTTCTTCGTACCGTGGCCTGCGTCTGGTATAAATATGCTGCATGACTGCGACAGAAAGGATTATTCCCCCTCCTGGGGACGTGAACCTTAGCAGAGAAAACACAAGAAATCCTTTCTTCTCCATTATTTTTCCTCTTCTCTTTACCATTCTTTTTCATTTTTTCCCTTCATCTTAATAATTAGGATTAAGCTTGTAACTTGGATTCAACTCTTGGAATTGGATTGATTGTATGTTTTTCCATCTTGTTTAATTCATGTGAATGATTATTTGGGGTGAATTTCTTGATTGTGTTGAATTCATGGTACATAGCTAATTCTGATTGCTAGGGATAGGGGATGATTGTTCATGTTTCACGTGTATTTGTCGGGCTAGAATTGTTCATGCTTATGTGAGTTGAATTGATTATGAATTGATGAAATTGTGCTTGATAGTTTGATGTAATCGAAGGGTGACACTTCGATCTTGCAGTTGGTAACAATTGGATATTAAGTTGCCGAGTTTGGTTTTGTTGATTCCAATGATTAGTTGATTAAACACCTTCTAATTAAATTAGCGATTTTTTGAACCGAAAGGGGAAAAGTCGTAGACCTAGGCTTGAATGAGATAGATAATTTCGTAATGGAATAATCTACGGGTTGAGATTGAAATACATGCTTGTCGATGACCCGTCCCTTGTTACGAAAAGTTATTGAGATTGGGATACTTGGCCTGTGTTGTATGCTCGAGCTTGTTCGTCTATGTTCAATCCCTTGTTACGAAGAGTTATTGGGAGCGAACCGCTAGATGTTTAAGCGTGAATGTCAATCTCGAACCGAACAATTGATTGCCCGATTTCGCTAAGAACTTGAATAAATTATCCCCGATTCTTTAGCTTCTCCATCTTTGTTTCATTCACATTTTTAGGTAGATTCGAGCTTTTTATTATTTCTTAGTTGATTGTATTCAAACCCTCTTTAATTGATTAGTATGTTTAGGATATATTTTCTTTTTATGTGTTATCAATGCCCAAGCTAAATTCCGAACCGCCTTCCTCGTGAGATCGACCCGGGGAACGAATCGTGCAATTCGGTACTCGGTAAAAATAACAATTTGCTACAACAAATTTGGCGCCGTTGCCGGGGAAGGCAAGTAGGATATTTGGTTTTTGTATTGATGTTATTTTTCGTGTTTCTCTTTGTTTTGTGTTTTTGGGATTTTTGTTCTTTCTTTTGTGCATCTTTGTTTTTGTCTTCTTTTTCCTCCTTTTTCGTGGCTACATGTGGTTGTTATGTTTTGGTGTGCAGGAAATATGAACTTCAACCGTGTGTTTCCCTTACCGCACACCATCTTGGGATCACGAGCCAAGCTATGACGCCGGGTACCACAACCAGTCATATTCATACTCTTCCGAGGAATACTGGGATCCCTACCCAGTCGAGCAATCTTATGAGTCCTACGAATTCAACAAGAAACTCGACCAGATTCTTACCTTTATAGCAGATCAAGAAGAAGATGTCGCATTCAATGAAAAACTTGATCTAATCCTCAATCGGACGATGGCCCAAGAAAACCGAGAAGAGGAGGTGGAGCTTAGATGTGCCAGTTTGAGCGAGAAATTAGAGAGTCTAGCCAGGCGCATCGACTCTATCGAGTCACAAGCCAATGAGCCTATGATTGTGGACCCACATCCGGAGTCCATTTTCGCTGAGCTCGAGGATGATTTTTCGGGATACAATGCTAAATTTGATCTCATCCTTGATCGGATGATGGCGCAAACAACTCGAGATGAAGCAATTGAGCTCTGATGTGCTCGGTTGAGCGCACAATTGGAGAGCTTAACAACACGCATCGACTGCATCGAATTACAAGCTAATGAGGTCCTTGCCTATGATCCACATCTTAATCATGGTGCCCAAACTGGTAAGTCGATGCCTATGAGTGAGCTTGATGACGAGGAAGTTGTGGTTCCACATACCAAGAGTGATGTCATAGTGGAGGAGAATCTTGAGCCCGATCAAGATGACACTGGGTTTACATTTTCTCAAGTTTCTCCTCCCACGATCGAGTTGGAGGGTTCACATTCTAAGCCACCACCATGTGCTACTGATAGAGACGGTTTTAGCTCGACTTGCTCCACGGATGCGCTTATAATTCCAGAGGTTGACGACAGAGCTCGCGTGGAAAAAGCTCTGCGTCTAGAATTGGGGATTTCCCGTGCCCGAACCCTGTTCACCAAGAACATAGCCACTCGGATCCACCGTGCCAGCCTTCTTGCCAATCTTTCCATGCTACCACTTCTGGAAAATACGAAGGCATGGCACGATTGTCACTTCTTTCTGGATCCTGGCTGATTTGTACCCAGGTATCGTCAAGCTAATGACGTTAAACAAGCGTTTCTTGAGAGGCAACCCAAGTGATTTATCGCTTTCTTAATTATTTTCTTTTTATTTGTTTAGTTTTAGCTTTGAATAATGGGAAACAATATTTTTTTCCTTTTCTCTTTTTTGGCTTTGGATCTTCATTTCATTTACTTTTTTTCTACGGCCCAAAATCATCCCACGTAGTCGAGAGAAATATAAAGTTAGTTGCGTTCTCTATAACTGCCTACATATATTAGAATCTTCCCAATTCAAAATTCAAAGAAGAGCAAAATCGAGTAGACTAAAATACAATTCAAACTTGAATTCTAGATTTCTAGAAAGACTTGGTGCGTACACATTCATGCAGTCAGAGCAGCCAAACACACCAGATAGAGCAGTAAAATTATCTGTTTCTCTTAAATAGACTACATACAAATATAATCATAATAAATATTGTTTCCTACAAAACTAATTTAACTCCATCCCATTCATCATTATCATCATCGTTATTCTTCTTCTTCTTCTTATAGTTATTATTATTATTATTACTAGGAAGGCTGGTACGGAGTTGGCACCACGAAAAGCTCTTCCTTTCTAGAGGCCGTGATCCCGGGATTCTCCATCATGTCCAAATCCTCCCCCCTGCCCCCTTCCGGAAGCTTCCAGTCGAAGCTATACAGAAGCCAGGCAACAGGCAGCTCCACACTAGCTAAACCGAACGTCATCCCAGGGCACATCCTTCTTCCACTCCCGAAAGGCAGATACTCAAAATCCCCACCCACGAAATCCGGTCCCCCTTCCTCAAACCTCTCCGGAACAAAACTCTCCGGATCTTTCCAGAATTCCGGATCCCTCTGCATGGCCCATGTATTGACCATAACTCTGACTTTAGCCGGGATCGTGTACCCGCCGACCACACGTTCCTCCCTGGACGCCCTCGGGAGGATCGGTACCGGTGGGTGTAGCCTCATGGACTCCTTGATTACGAGCTTTAGGTATTTTAGTTTGTGAGTCACTTCGTGTTCGTCCAACTCCTCATGCTTATTACCTCGGAAGGCTTGTCTAATTTCAGCTTGGGCCTTCGCCATCACTCTCGGATTCCGCATCAGTTCAGCCATTGTCCAGTCAATCAAGGACGACGATGTCTCGGTCCCAGCTGAGAACATATCCTGCCAAAAAATAAAAATAATTATTATTAAGTCATGATAATATAATATCATAACTTTTTTATCGAAATTGCAATTTAATCACGACTTTTTCACTTTTGCAAATTATATCACAATCTTTCAGTTTGTTGCAAATTGGTGCACCGATTTGCATATACCGTGCAAACTATATCACAATCTTCAATTTGTTGTTCGACCACATCAGCTTTTCTATGACTGTTTGCAACAAACAAAATATTGTGATATAAATTTACAAAAGTGAAAAGGTCGTCGTGATATTAGGGGCAAATTTGCCTATAATATTTGGTTAATTTGGTTTACTTTACTTACGAGTATAACAGCCTTGATGTTGTCGTTACCAATCGGAAACTGCAGCTCCCCACTCTCCATAACCCTCAACAACACATCAACCAAGTCCTCATTTCCAAACTCCCCATTTCCCTTCCTCATCTCCCCCACATCACTCTTCAGATTCTCCTCGTGCTCCCGAATGATCTCGTCAAGAATCGTGTCGATCCTGCGCCTCATTTCCACCAGCCTCCTCCTGCTCCAGCTCAGCGCCCTGACGACTCTCGAATCCGGGTACAGGTCAGCGACGACTAACCCGTCCGCCAGCTTAAGCCCGGACCTCAGGAGCCCGACAAGCCCGTCCTTGTCCTTGCACACCTTCCCGAACGCGGCCCGACAAGTGATGGAGCTTATCAGGGAGAACACTTTTTCCGTGAGGTTAACGGGCTTTCCGGCCGAGGCCCGAATGGAGTGGAGTACGCGGGCCATCTCTTCGGCCCGAATTGAGGCGAAGGAGCGCACGTTCTTGGCGCTGAGGAGCTCGAGGATGCAAATCTTGCGCATCTGGCGCCAGTAGTCTCCGTAAGGGCTGAAGGCGAGGTTGGAGTAGTTGTACCACATGATCTCGACGACTATGGATTGGGGCCGGTCAGCGAAGCACGGGTCGTTTTCCTTGAGGAACTGTTTGGTGAGGGCCGGGGAGGAGACCACGATGGCTGGGACCTGTCCCAGCATCAGGTGCATGATTGGGCCGTGCTGTCTGGAGAGGTCACGTAAGGAGCGGAAAGGGAGGGAGCCCAACTGGTGGAGGTTGCCGATGAGGGGGAGCTTTTTTGGGCCTGGTGGGAGGTTTTGGGCCTGTCTGGGCCCGGTGAATATCTTGAGTAGGAGGAGGAGGATGAAAGGGGCTAGGAGGGAGATTGTTGTGGCTAGGCTCAAGTGAAGAATGGAAATATCCATTTTCTGTTGTTATTTTTTTTACCTGGATTTTGTTGGTTATGAGAGGAGGCCAAGGAATTTGTATTTATAAGATATTTCGAGGAGAAAAGTCTCTTAAAAGGGCCATTTCTTGAAGTCTTACATCGGAAATTATTTTAGGAGAAAAGTCTCGCCATATTTCTTGAAGTCTTACATCGGAAATTATTTTAGTATGCACCCAGTACTAAGCAGTTGTAAGTTGTGGAAAAAGTTTTCAGTCAAGGAAATATTCCACTTAAGTTTATCAAGATATATAAGAGTTTATTTTCTAAATTTTATTAGCAAATATTCATATCACTATTCATAAATTAAATTAATTAGTTACTTTATTATTAATGTTATTATTATATCACGGCAAATATTAAAAATTGGTCATATAGTTTCGTCAAAATCAAATTTTTACCCCGCCATTGATCACTTTTAAATTGAGTTCAATAATTTGACAATTTAATCAATTTTATTCTCTTTTATCTGACATGGTATGATTGTGATTTACGTGGCGGGATTAGAGTAGGCGCGAAACTTATGATATTTTTTTCCCCAATTCTTATACCTTAATCAGCAAATTCTATTTCCAATTGTTAAACTTGAATCAACAAGTCGTAGACACCTAAATCTACAATACTCCATTTCTTAACATTCGACAGAATCAAAATTGTTTAGATGGTGAGAAGAAAATGAAATCCTTTAAGGATAAGTCCAAATAGCGAATGAGATATTTCAATCAGTGAATGAGAAACCACGATGTGAAGCGATGAAGGAGAAATCTGAACCACCTAAGGAGAAATCTCAATCGTTAATTTTGTGTGTTTTTATGTATTTTTCTTGTGTTAGTTTTAAATTATTATATGTTTTTCACGTTCCATTTAGTCATTTTTGTGTTGTTTTGGTGTCTTGTGCGTTTTATTTCTCTTTGTATCTTTTCTTTAGTAGGAATTTACATTTCGAAGAGTCGTCGAAAAATCACCTGGAAGTTCATCGGAAAAAGTCCACGGAGGGTTCCCGGTCGATATCGCCTCGGTTAGTTCTCTGTGGACCCGTGACTAGGAGAAATTAAGTTGTAAGATATTACTAATTTATATAAAAACTAAAATTGTACTGAAAAACTAAAATTAGTTTTTATGTCAATTAGTTTTTCAGTAATATCAATTAGTTTTTATATAATTTGTGAGATATACTAATTTATATAATAACTAAATTTAGCTTTTATTTAAATTAGTCTTTGTACCAAATGGTACAAAGAGAAATTAAAATAAAAAGAATACATATTTATGCCCAATTTTATCAATAACTTTTTATATAAATTAGTTTGTCAGTCACCAAACATAAATTATCATTTATCACTCGAAATTAATTCATAAGATATCAATTAATTTATCATCTATCCGTTGACTTTTTGCTACTTTTTTTTCCAAACATATCCTAAAATTTGTGAATATCATATGTCGATATGAAAATACATACATTTTTGTTTAGAATGAAAGATTTATATTATCCTCGTTTTTCTTTTGTACTTTGTATCTATTGTCGCTCCTATATATCATTCTCGAATGCGCTAAGCTTAAGTGGCAGACTCGTGTGCTTCGTAAATTTATTAATTATCATAAATATGTATTCTTTTTATTTTTAAAACTTTATAAACTTTTTATTTGTATTTTTTTTTTTATATATGAATCTAACAAAATAATTATATTTTAACGATTTTCGATGACATCCATATTACATATATAAAATAAAAAATAATTTCATCTATATTTATAAATAAAATCAATCTTATTATCAACTCAATTTAAAAAACATCTTATAGTAATAAAAATCTAATTCATTAATACACCATAAAATAATCATTTTTTTGTTTTCTACATAAATTTTGGATAAAATACATAAAATAAATTTTAAGAAATATTATAAAATATTATTTCTAAATTTAAATATATTATATAAAAAAATTGAATGTCATTATGTTATTTGAAATAGTAAATATAAATAATTAAATATAATAATTAAATATAATAAAATAATTAAATATAAATAAGTCATAATTAAATTATAAATAATAAAATAATTAAATATAATAAAATAATTTTGTATTTCATAAAGTTAGAAAATAATACATTTCTGTATTATTAATTATATGGATTTAAAATACTTGAAAATTTAATAAACGTGGGACACTAACTCTATAAATATAAATATTATTACAATAAAATTTGTTTTGTTAAAAAAAAAGAATCAAATACATGAAGCGGTAAATAATATCAGTTTTATACATATACAATTATAAAAATATAATGAAAATCTATTTTTTGGCAAATTTAGTATAAAAATATGGATATCATTTGAATTAATTATCAATTTGTTAGTTATTTATTATTGTTGCATATTCATCATACATAATTTCACAATAAAATTGTAAATTATTTTAATTTTAATTGTACAATTGTACTAGTTTAACTTTGACATACAAAAACATTTAAATAAATGTTGTCACTTATATGGCAGGCTGTGGCGTGCTCCATGAGGTAAAAATTGGCAACCAATCCGAATAATATTTTTAGATTGTCAACGTATTTGATATGAGTTGAACATAAGGACCAATTGGTTGAAATATAACCAAGAATAACTATGAAATATAAAGCAGAAAAGAAGACGGACGTCATCTATTTCAGTTTTCAACAACACTCACTGGCCTCAGCCATCTACATAGGAATTTCAGTCAAAAATGACGTGAGATCCAGAAAATATACGATGGAGCTTACAAGATTGGATATATAGAAGTAGACTATTATGTTGCGCCATTTTAATTTAGTTCGGCATATCTTACCTGAGCTCTAGCTATGAAAATAAATTGTACTAGCTGGAAGAGCAACTAAGATATGTTTGAATATTCTGAAAAAGTATCCTAACTGATGTACTTGTATCTACTACTATTATGAACGTCTTTATTTGATTCCTATGAAAACTTCCATTAACGTAATCCTCAATTTTAAACGATATGATTTTTTAACATATTTCTTTTACCTCTTAACAACCTCATCATAAGTCTTCGCTAGTGTCTTAGCGAGAGAACTTCGACACGGACCAACCCGTAAACTCCTGATTAGACCCCCAACTTTGACCTCGTTAGAGACCCAAAGGTATCTCCACACAAGCTCGATTATACCGGGCCACGTAATTTCGCAATGATTCGCCTTCCTCTTGTCTCATCGTCATCAAAGTTGGGTAAGTTTTTTCTTGGGTTATTGCACTAGCATACTTGTTTAAGAACAAGCTCGAAAAGTTCTCTAAATTTGTCACTGACCCTGGGGGAGTTGATGAAAATGATCTTGAGCCCCTCCTCTTAGAGTAGCAAGAAAAGCTCGACAGCTCACCGTATCAGAATAACCATGCAACATAGACATATTTTCGAAAGATCTCAAATGCCTTGATTGATATGTCGACCCATCATATGTAAAACTAAGGCCCTTGAAATTGGTTGGCAATGCAGCTTCGAGAATCTCCCGGGAAAAAAAGATGTCCTGGAGCTCGACCGATAGCCTTTCCCTCGAACTTCGCTTGCAACTGACGGGTCTGCTCAGCCATCTTCTCAACAGCTCGATCCCTATAAACCTCCATGGCCATGCTACTCGACTCCTCAGCCTCTTTCTCTTGTCTGGTCGTACGCACTTGTTGAGTGAACTGTTGGGCTGCTCCGACTACAACTGCGTCTGTGATCATCTTTCCAACCTCCTTCTTAGACAACGTAATGAGTTGTCGCTCTCCTCGCTCGACCTCTCTCTTGGGAGGCTCCATCGATGGGACCATCGCTCGCTCTGGCCGCGCATGTGCAACAACATGTTGCGTCTGCTTTGTGTTACAAACCTTAGTGTTTATGAATGAATGAATGTCCACAAGTGAGGATGCCCATATATATAGACTTAGGGCTTAAGTATATGTGAGTTAGGCCTATATAATAATTAACACCCCCCTTCAAACTCAAGGTGGAGGTGGAGGATCCGAAGCATTGAGTTTGAGCAAGTGAAGCCGATGTTGCTCTCTGGTTTGTGCTTTGGTGAAAAAATCAGCCACTTGCAGTTCTGACGGTACATACTGAAGAATAATTATTTTCTGTTGACAGTGAGATCGGGTAAAGGAAGCATCAACACCAATGTGTTTTGTAAGTTCATGTTTTACTGGATCATTGGCAATTTGGATTGCTCCAGTATTATCACAAAGAAGAGGCGTAGGATCATCACATGAAATACCAAAATCGACTAACAACCATCGAAGCCATATAAGTTCTGAGGTGGTAGTAGCAAGTGCTCGAAGTTCTGCCTCTGTGCTAGATCGAGATACAACTGTCTTCTTCTTTGACTTCCATGTAAGTGGAGAAGAACCAAGAAAAATGCAATAACCAGTGACAGAACGACGGTCAGTTGGATTGCTTGCCCAAGTAGAATCCGAGTAAGCATGAAGCTGAAGCAGACTATCGCGAGAATATAATAAACACTGAGATGATGTTCCCCTTAAGTATCGTAGCACGCGAAGCAAATGCCCAAAATGAACCGAAGTAGGAGCACTCAAAAACTGAATCAATATATGAACTGCGTGAGCAATGTCAGGCCTGATAACAGTAAGATAAACGAGACTGCCTACAATATGTCGATAGCGAGAGGGATCCTCAAGAGGCGTACCATCAGTGGGACGAAGCTGTAAGTGAAGATCCATAGGCGTAACTGCTTTCCGATTATCAGTATTGCCGGAACGAACAAGAAGGTCTTGTATGTACTTAGACTGAGAAAGGTAATAGCCCGAGGCAGAATGCATCACCTCAATGCCCAAAAAGTAGCTAAGAAAACCCAAATCGGACATCTGAAATTGTTGACCAAGTTGCTTCTTGACATGAGATATATGTTCTGCATCATCTCCCGTAATCAACATATCATCAACATATAGAAGAAGTAGAGTACGCCCACGTGGAGAGAG